TAAATAAGGTTATTCACCTTGATCTATAATAAATAAAGTATTTAATTATATACTGACCCTATGCCAAACTATTGCCTCCTACTAGTGGAGTTTGTAGTTCCATTCTGTGTACACCCCAACAGTAGGGTCTCTGCACCGAATGTCATGTTACCTTGCCATGTTGGTGCAAGAAAGCCATAACATTGTAATGTGTTTGTTATAGATAACTATGATGCTATTTCATGAAACTCAGCCTAGGAACTTATCTTGAATTAGAACAGGCAATGAAGTTATCTAGAATTGGCAGGAAGGTCAGAAAGTAAATTTAATGTTAAGGCAAAGCTTTACAGTAGAGATATACAAATATTGTATTTGTTATATAATTTTTATTAGCTATGCATGAGTTATAATAGTGTCTTCAGGGTTTTAGATTTATTTCTTTCTTTTTCACAATCAGTGTTTCTTTTTTCTTTTGTTTTTTTCTTTTTTTCATACATTTTTTTTAAAAATTTTTTTCTTTTTGTCTCATGCCTTTAAGAAGAAAAAAAAATTAAAAAGGAGAAAAGAGATTCTGATATAGTATATAACAACCTGTCAAATGATCAAGGGGAATGGATAAAAGGTGAACAGAGAGCAGAATGGTTAAAAAATAAATTAATAATCTTGACAGGCCATAAGAACTATTTGATGAAGTATTGATGAACTTGTTTGCAAGATAAATTAATATGAAGGCAAATCTTATTATAGCAGGTTGCACATAGATATTTATAGAACAACTGGGTGAGCTGATACTTGTAACTTAGATGTCAAAGGGAATAGCCCTTTGAAAAATTTAATATTTCAAAATATAATTTTATTAAACCTAATAAAGTAGAGACAAGACTGCCAAATTAAAATATATATATATATTTAAAGATCAATATTAATAAAAATTTAAAATAAAATAATGAAAGGTTGAATATTTAATTGTAGTTAGTACTGTTATTGTCAGTGTATCAAGTATGACAAACTACTGGTAAAATCAAACACATAGCTCAACAATAGCTAGATATACTCTGTAAGAATGCTATGTTGACTTTTTTTAAATTTAAATAGTAATAGTCTCAAAACAAAAAGAAAAAAATTAGCAAATGCACTTTGTGAAAATATCGTGTTAACTTTTAAGATCTTAGTATTGGTTGTTAAAGTTAAAATTAGGATTTAATTATGGTTAGAATCGTGTTTGAGTTATAATAAACATACTGTATTAGGTATATTTGAGCTATATTTTTTTCTTGATATAGTGATTTTTATTAATGAAACCGATCGCCTCATTATAACAAGAGACTTATATGATGATTATTATTGTCGTAATTACTAAACTATGCTTGCATAAGCATTAAACTAAAAATATGCATGGGGAAAGAAACTGATTGAACTGATTGGATGGAGAATAGAAAGGTTTATTAATATTCAGTAACATACGATGTAATTTATTTATTTTCTATTTTATTTTATATGAGTGCTACCAAGGGAAAATGAGACTCCAAGCTTTCAATTTTATTTAGTCCTTTATGGTAACATGTATAATACATATCATATATATATCCCAATCAGATTTTTTCATGGGCTAAATCCAATAAATAATTAATGATGAAAGCCCGAAATCACATGTTTTCTTAGTAGACTTATATAATAAATGAACAGGTATTGACCGTACTGAAATCAATAATTATTTTATCAGCTGTCCCAGAAATTATGAAAATAAATTGATTCTCATCAAATTATATTATTACAATGTATGATTTTAATACGATCTCTAATTTGTCGTATTTTATGAATCACATATAATACATTCGATTCTTAAAAGTATAAGTTTTAACAGATTAATCATCACTATATAATTGCTGGGCATCTTCATCAGTATATCCTAAAAGGTATAAAATATATCTCAGGGACTTCTGGTTAATTCGTGCACGTGCCTAAGAGATGCAAATATTAGTTTCAAATAATTCTATTAATTAATACAAGCATGAAAGATCGTTAAATATATAAATACTTTTTCTTGTACACGTGGCTTTGCGTTAAACGCTACCCCTAGTCCAGCTTTTGCCAACATGAATAAATCGTTCGCACCATCACCTACAGCGATAACTTGATCAAGTTTTATATTCTCAGCCTGAGCGATCACTTCTAAGAGTTCAGCTTTGCGTTTTCCATCAACGATTTGACCATCAAGTTCGCCAGTGAACGTTAAGCCATCCGGTGAAACTTTTAACTATTTATTAAGCAAAATTAGTTAAGTCATTGAGAAGAAATTAAATTTAAAATATCTTACTTGATTGGCAAAAGCATAATCTAGTCCAAGCTCATTCTTCACATAGTTAGCAAGAGGAATGAATCCGCCTAGAATAAATCAAAATTAGCAAAAATATGACATGAAAATTTAATTCGAAATAGTATAAATTTAGACAGAATACCAGAAATTACAGCCAATTTAAACCCGATCTTCTTTAGTGCTTTACATAGAAGATGAGCCCCTTCAGTAAAAATAAGATTCTTCTTGATAGTTTGTATAACATCAGTTGAAGTTCCTTTTAATAATGAAACACGAAGTCGTAAAGATTCCTGGAAATCAATTTCTCCATTCATTGCGGATTCTGTGATTACCTTATAAATAACAATATCGGAAGAACATTAGAAATTCAGCATTTAAAAATCTTATAAAATATGTGACTTGTGACTACATACTGCAACATCATTGACAACACCAGCTAATTTAGCGATTTCATCAATTACTTCTTGCTGTATTAAAGTAGAATCCATATCAAATACAACTAATCTTTTGTGCTTTCTAAAGACGTTAAACGGTTGAAGAGCAACATCAGTTCCATGATTTATGCTCAACTGAAATAATTCTTGTCTCAGGCGTTCAAGATCCGTTTCCGACGGCACTGAAAGTTTATAATCAGCACATAATAATTTCTCTTCGCTCAATCTTTGCATCTTCTCTATAGAAATCTTTTCACGAAGTAATAATTTTGTCCACTCATCCAAAAATTGTGGAGTAAGACCATTCTGATTTAATACAGTGGCAGTATATTTAATACGATCTTTATATGGTGCATCTTCAAGGGATTTTGGTAAAATATCATGCTGATTGTGAATATTAAAAGATAAATTTCCATCCCATTTTTTAGAAGCCTCGGCAAGATCACGAAACAAATTAACATTATCTGATTTTGAAGTAATCAAAACCCCAAATGTAACATTATGATAAAGTCGAGATAACATGAAGTCTGCAATTTCGCAATCATTTTTTGCCACACAATCTAATACACATCCGATAATGTCTGTACCATGAGGGCCGGTGAGAGAAACTAAAATTTTTTGATGTGGTAATAATTTTGACGGCGGTAACCAATTATTTTCTGGCGAAGGTGCCAAATTAAATTGTAAAGCTGTTGACATATTAAATGGGAAAGTCGTCGATAACTTCAGCTCCAAAAAGAACGAGTTTCTTAACGAGAACGTCTCTAAAAAGCAGCATAGTAGAGATTATAAAGCATATTCTATTGTATTACTACAGTACTAGTAATACTGTAATATAGCAAAATGCTGCACCAAAATGGAAACGGATTCTAGAATAATCCACGTGCAGGTTTTCGAAATTCGATTGGACTTTCAAAAACGTATTTTTTGTCCGTCCGCACGCGTGTTCAAATTTGTTAATTTAATGTAACAAAGATATGCATATTCACGCGTTCGTGTAATAAAATGTCATCATATGATATGCTTCGGTTCGGTGCTACGCATTTTCCTAGTTTTACGTAAATTCCAGTTTTACGATTGCATTACTGCATCTTTTTTTAAAAATAACTGCTAGTAGGAGCGTATCTCAGTTAGATACTGAGCAGGCAACTGCTCCCAAGGTTAAAATTAAAGAAAATAATTTTGTTTATTTCATTAATTTACTATTTATAGTATTTTTAATCAAGGATTAATTCCGTAGCAACAACAATTCCGTATCTATTCAATATATTAATTAAGCATTAATTCTATATCAACAGTAATTCCGTATCTATTTAATATATTAATCAAGTATTAATTCTGTATCAACAGTAATTCCGTATCTATTTAATATATTTATTCAGTATTAATTTATTATATAACCTTATTATTCCGTATATATATATTATATTCCATATGTTATCTGTAATTTTCTTTATTATTTTCGTAACTATTTTTCCATAGGGTAGCTTTGAGTTTGGCTTTCTCATGCATTCTCAGCCTCTAGATCAATTATACGCTGTTTCAATACTTCAAGCTCGGATGGATTAGCTTCGTTAGCTGTCATGATTAATAATAGTTTTATATGTTTTGAAAAATATCAAAAAATTTCTGGTTTCGAAAAATTGCCAAGAAAAAAAAATTCTCGATCATATACGAGTAATGCAAATATAGTAAAATAAATTCACGAAATATACACGCAAAAGTAAACTGCTTTATTGATATAAAAATTTACATAGCAGTAGTAATTTCAATACATAAAAAAATTCGCAATCTTGCGATACGCATGTCACAATGGCGCAATAATCTCACTACCCACATTAATATTTACAATAGGCTAAAAAATAAGACTCATAATGAATCAAAATCAACCCTTTATTTTTTGATTATACTGTATGCTATAAAGAGAAAACTCACGGGTTGCATTGGAAAAGATTTCTATTCTTTGGTCCCAATGCTACCAATTATTTGCTAACTTCTTATTTCCACCCATGTCGGCATCTCTCGTTTCTGAAATATATTAACCGATTTACAACCAGAATTTGAACCTTATTACAATTTTTGAAGCAGAAAAAGAAAAGACTGGATCACATATACGAAAATGCTTCCCTCTTAATGGGAACAACCGATTTTGAGCTCGATTAGTATGTTAACGCATATTCGTGATATTGCGCCAAATAAGAGAAATCTATAAGATAAAAGATAATCAGCATAAATGCATAAACATTAATATGAACTACGGTGAAAATATCTTAAACTGGTTCACAAAAATGTAATTCTTTATTAAACTTTAATATATTTATAATTAGACATTGTTTCTTCAATGGGTCTCCACAAGATACGACGAAATCCAATAACCACGATATGAATCCTTTTAGCTTATTGGGACCTGATTTGATTGTTTTAATTCGTTCATCGATTACCCCCGAAGTAGAATATCCAACCGCATGACCCTTCGCTATCATACTCATATATGACCTTAATTGTTTTAATCCATCATTTATTATTCCACGTATGGTTGTCTGTACCATTTTTCCGAGGTCCTTTGACCAATAAACGTATCGTCTATTTAGTAAAGACTCTTCATCTTCCGTCTCAAGGATCTTATCTAATTTTTCCAACTCGTTAGCACCAAAACTCCTTACTTGATTTCCATTAGCATCTCTCACCAGACCGATTAACGAAATATATTTAAGTTCTAAACAAACATCGTTCCCCTCAGTTCCTCCCAAAACAAAAATATCAGGAAAACCAAAACGGCCTGATCCTTTTTGTTTTTTGCCATCCATTACAAGACAAAGCTCCGGCACTCGATGACTTGATGGGAGAAGGATCTCGACAATAGCTTGAAGCACCGCCTCATTGGCTGAAGACAATGACATCCGTGATCTTGTTAATAAGGTGGCCTTGAGAAGTTTGATAAAAGGGATAATATTACCCACAACGAGACTATTATATGCTGTACCAATAAGAACATCATCGGCAACCTATATATATATTCAAAGGTTTAATAAAGGCATTAATCATAAAATAATAGAAAATGTAAATAACCTTAATCTTCGGTGACACAGGAATATTTGACGAATTATGGGATGTAATATTATCTAGTGCTCTTTTTTTGCTGATTGGTGCTACATTTCCTGTTTGCTTCTCAGTATGAATGTTCTAAAAAATAACAATAAATGATTAATTATAGGGCAACACACATAATAATAATAGATGCAAAAAATAATATCTCAGAAAAATGGTACAGCACAAATAAATAGAACTGCTACGCCATTAGTAAATTAACCGTAGTCTGGGCCCACAACTAATAAGACAGTTAATTACTACAATGAGCAGAATATAGTAAAATGGACTCCTGCGATTAAACAAGCCGAGATTTACCACACATAACCTGGCCCATATGATAGGTAAGTCAGCTGTTGCAAGTCTAACTGCCGAATCTGTAAAATACAGCATAGACATTGAATTGAAATCACAATTTTAGAAATGCTTACTCTAAGATACGTTTCATAAAACAATTCAAGAAGTTTGAGGGATATTGGTTTATTTTTAAGGATATTATCTATAAATTTGACATATCCCTCAAATGTCCAGGTATTGGAAGGAGCTGTAAAATATTTGGAAGAAACCCGAAACAAGTCTTTCTCTGACTTAGATAGGGTAGTTTCGTTGGATATAATGGCATATTTGAGTAATTCCCGTAGAAATTATTGTGTACAAGAAATTAGATCTTTGGATGTTCTATAGAATAGGTGGGCAATATAAAAAATAAACTCCGCTACTAATTAGTAATCATTAATAAATATTTAGCGGAGTTGCTGAGTTTGCGGAGTCTGCCCACCTATTATATAAATATCCAGATCTTTTATACTGTTTGTTTGATGCGTATTAAGTCAAAATACGCGTCTGATTATTGAAAGCGCGTATGTAATTGGCTGATGTAAATCCATATTTATGCTGTAATGATAAGCCTTGTAAGGTGGTACACTGATTTATTTAGAATTTTCACATTCACATCGCTTATACATTCCCTCCGCTATGTTTTACAATATAGGTGTGAATGATTGCATTCGTCACAAACCTTACACCCGTGTTTCCATCCTCTAAATATATGAGATATGCCACTTTTCAATGTAATTTTGTTTGTCTTATTTGTAAATATGTTAATCTGATTTTTTTTCATCGTTATTATATTAACAGAAAATATATATATATGTGACTAGTTGGGTATTTTACATATTAAGTAATCAAGTCTATATGAGGTATCATAATAAAATTTACTAGTACAAATTTTTTATGTATTATTTGGACCCATGTAGATTCTTACTATACCCTGGCAATGTTATTTAACCAGTAAAATTCAAGATTTATGTGTACCAAAAAAAATTATTGATATTATTACTGTTACATAAAACTAATATGCTTTAATTATAAAAACTTTTAAAAAACTTTAACAACATGTAAATAATTTTTTTAAAAGATTATTTGCAGTTTGTTTTCATTGGAAATCTAATTGGAGAACTAATAAAGCAAAATCTTGCTGTTTGTAAGTTATTCTATTTTTACTTCAAATCTTCTTTAGTTGTTTGTTAGTTAGTAAATTAAAATTCTTTTATTTTAGTTATTTAAAGGCATGTTTTAGATTAGTATTCATATTGAGGTAAGTCTTCAAATCCCACTTGTTAAATAAGCCTTTGATCTGTTGTTGATAAATAATAATACTATATTTCTCTAAAAATAAGCATCTCTTTTTTGTTTATTTTTAGGTATAATATCAATTAACAATTTTAATAATTTGATATTTAGTTATAGTCATCCTTCTATATAATCACCCTCATAGAGTTACAAACTCTATATAATTACTTTTTTTTTAAATCCTATTTTTTTATTATTAAATCTTCTATATAATTACAATTAGCTTATAATCACTATTATATATATTTTTATTTTTATAAAAAATTTTAATAATAAAACTTCTTCTATATAATCACAATTATTAAATAATATATCATACAAAAAATTAGTTCTACTACTTCACTGATACTCATTTTGTAAACACAACACTTTGCCAACAATTATTTTACTAATATGTTTATTTTTACTAATACTTAATTTACTAATTCACAGTTTATTTTAATAATAGCTCATTTTACAAATAATATAATTCTGGTCATTATTATTAAGATCAGGATTAGAAAGAGTTAAGCTTAGCATAATTTATAAAAAAACTTGACATTGAATTAAAATATTGATAAAATAATTGTTTGTAAAATGAACTTGTTAGTAAATTAATGCTAGTAAAATAAACATATGAACTTTTTTTAATGATTATCTGTACCAAAAAATCCAAAACACATTTTTTGTAAAAATACAAAAGTATTTAATAAAAATGGAGAATATACTAGTAGCAATAAGTTAGCAGTTGTTATTTAGAGGTAGTTCTTATAACTACCCCAGTATTGCCACCAAAATGTTACAGTTATATGACAATTTTTGTGGCATAAACAAATCAGATTTTAAGATCAGATATAACATTACATGATTAGAAAAATTCAAAACAAACATTCACTTTGTCAAAAATTGCTTGTTTCTCAAAAAGTAGCATAAGAAACCAGCTTTAGTGTTTTAACAAAAAGTTTTTCTTAAGCAATTTTACCTATAGTTCTTACTTACTCTAACCCAAATCCTAACCCTAACCCTAATCTAAATGAACTTAAAAAATTTTTCAATAGTTATGTGACTATAATATTTTGGTAGTGATACTGAGGAAGATTAATTCTTATATGCTACCTGCTAACTTCTCCAGAGTTTATCACTCACTATACACATAGTATTTGTTATTTAGAAGTAGTTCTCATACACTACTTGCTAACAAGCCAGAGTTTATTATTTACTAAAAAAAAAACATAGATGTCCTACTCCTTTTCTAAAAAAGAATTAGGAGTTGTTGAGTCTTTTTATAGATATAACTACTTTCCTTAGGTGCAAGTGGTCTTAGAGATTGGAACTGTTCATTGTAATCAGATTTATAACCGGTTTTAACCGGTTATAACTTATAACCGAGTTGAGAATTTTTTAAATTGATTAACTAGTTTTATTATAACCAAATATATCTGATTAATTGGTTTTATTTAACCGAATCTTATCTGATTAATCAGTTTTATTATATCCAATTACAGCTGTTTTCATAAATTCTGTGATACCCTAAAAAAATTTGTCGAAGTCTATTTGGCCGAAGTCGGTAAGTTATTGATTTTGGTATGATCAGTATAATAAGAAAAGCTATTTTTGAATCATAATGATTATTTTACAATAATATCAACAATTTTAAATTTTCGTTTAAATACTTGTCCAACATGTTTGGTACATTCATGTCAACCAATAAACCTTAACAAGAAATGTAAAAAGGAATCAAATATAAACTAGACTTTTATAATAAATATATTACTCGAACCAGTGATAGTAAATGATCTGGTCATTTGCAAATTTTTCAAATGATATTAAATGACCCCAAAATGACTAGTCATTATCAGTTATCTCAATTTTGGTAATTTGGAAATAACTTGTGACCAAATGACCATGGTCATTTAGAAATGACCAAGGTCATTTGAGGGTTATTTAGTCTTATAGGTTTTGAAATAGGCTGGGTTAGGCTAGATATTTGTATACTTGGGCCCAATCTTAATAAAAAGTTTTATTCCCAACCCAAGTCAGGAATAGTAAATAATCCGGTCGTTTGATTGAAATTTAAATGCCCCCAAATCATCAAATCATGACAAGATCATTAACCATCTACGTAGATCATTTGTATATGAAATAATTTTATTGGTCGAATTGCTCATATAAAGAGTTATCAAACTTTATTATATTCCTAATTGATAATCGTAGCTATACACATATTAAAGTCAAAGTCTTACTAAGTCAATATTTATAAATTGAAATCTTTTTATTAACTTTCGTATAAATGTAAAGCG